TGCACTACCTCATGCATTCTTTTTTTCTATAATATTCTTCTTTTATTTATTTCATTAAAAAATAATTTTTTTTCCAGTTTTTTTTTTTTCTCGGAATTTTTTCTATTCATAAATGAACTATAAACTTCCCGAAAACAACTATAAAAATTTTGAAATCAAATATAATTTCTTTTTGTTTTCTTCATAAATCAACTATAAAATTCCCAAAAACAACTATTAAATTCCCAAAATCAACTATAACTTCTTTTTTATTCTTATGAATTAATTATAAAAATATCGTAAACAACTATAAAATGTGATGTTCAACAGTAGATTTACCAATATAAAATCAACTATGAATTATCAAATTCAACTAAGAAATTATCGAAATCAATTAGAAATTATCAAAATCAACTACAAAAAAGCACCCTGACTATCACACACACAACTTGATTTTTACATATTTCTTCGCAACTCCACCACCAACAACAAACCAAAGAATTGGAGCAATTATCAAAAGTCCACCACCTACACATTTTTTTTGATTAAAATGTAAATATAATAAATCAAAAAAAGTCGTAGACAATTACAATGGGTATACCCGAGGAAATTGCAGAACTTAATGCAGAAAGCATAAAGAAATAAACTAACATAAAAGCAAAAATAAAAGTGGGAAAAACCCACATAAGCCTAGCATCTAACTTAGTAGTAAAATAACTGTAAATAACAATAATATTACTATCAACCACATCAATATTATTATTTTTTTGGGGTTTTTTTTTGTTGATAGAGTTATTCACGGAGTAACGTAATAATATTACTGTCTATTATTGTAATATTATTGTAAACACAATAATATTACTGTTGTTATAGTAATATTAATTATTTTGGCGTTTTATTATGTTTACCTTTGTTGAACGGTCAAAATATTAATATTACTGTATTACTCAATAATAATGACTTTTGTTGTGTTAATATTACTATGCTAGAGATTAATATAGCAATATTATTATATTAAACTGTAGTATAGTTATTTTTACTGTGTTTAACAGTAATATAGTTAATATTATTGTCAACCACAACAATATTGTTGTTTAAACGGGGGACAAAAAGATATTGAAGAAAAGAATTAAAAAAAAAAAAAAAAAAAAAAAGTCAACGCCGATTGACCGGTGGTCAACGGCGATGACGGATAAAATTGTCCATAAAAATGTATTTTGGGGCAAAATTAAATAATAATTTTTTTTAGTTGTGTTTATATACAATCACATGAAAAAAGGTAAAAATGAAAGATCGTTCCATTGAGATAAGAAACACCAAATTTGACCATTTTTTCTCTGAATTTTACAAAAGTCAAAACACCAAATTTGTAGTCCTTTAAGTTGACATTATAATCCAACTTAAACCAACTAGATCGAGATTGCATGTGGGGTGCATGTCGAGTGAATGTTGTGTGCAATGTTGAGTGCATGGGGTGCATGTCGGGTGCATGTCGTGTGAATGTCGTGTGTATGTCGGGTGCGTGTTGGGTGCATGTCGAGTGAGAGAGATATGCATGCATGAATGAACATTCGAAGTCAAAATGGTATAAATAAAAGCGAAACAACATTTTGGTTAAACAATTGTAATATATATTTTAAAAAAAATAATCGAACCTGAAGAAGTATTCGATTTCTGGTCCTCCGGCCATCCAAAGCCAAACACGCGCTTGGCATTCTGGTTCCGTCTTTCTTTGACCTTTCCTAGGTCCTCGTCCAGCTCAGCATTTTTACGGTTGAGACACGTTAGTTCCTCAACAACTAAACCCTTCTCCCTTTCGCACGATTGCAGTTTCTTGAGTGTTTCTTGCTCCCTTTTCCGAGCTTCACGCACGTTATTAGCCGATGCCAAAGCCTTCAACCTAGCATCTTCCATCATCTCCTTCAACTCCAAATTCTCCTCTTGAAGGCGGCGAAGAGTAAGGCTAGCCAGTTCGATCTTTCGAATCGTGTTGTCCATTGCATTCTGCATTTCAGACAGCCGTTTTGTCGTAACCTCTACCAAAGTACGCCTCTCCTTGATAAATTTCTCGGTCTCTTCTTTCTCTTGCTTCAGTAATTTCAACTCATGACTTTGGGACTTCTCCACTATTATCGCAGCCTGCATAACCATCGCGTTCGCCCAATCACGCCATCCTTTGATCTCTTTCTCGAGGGCTTCCTTATGTGTCACTAGCTTATTATAAGTTGTTCTTTTGTCGGGGAATGAATCGTTCCTCTTCATTTTGGATTTCGAATATTGTATGTATCAGATGTGCCTGATAACATAATACAAGAACACTAGTCAGAATCATTACATAAATATATTGCAATTTCAAGACAACATAATAAGATTACTTAAAAGATAAATTAAATATACTAATAAAAACCCAATTGTATTATTTGGGCCGTGATAAAATAATATTTATGAGAATCATCTTTATGTTGTTACATATAGGCTCACCTCGAGATAGTGTGTAGTGAGAGAATTACGGCAATGAGGTTTGTGACGACTAAAGAGTTGATGTCTCTTAGGCTACGCAAAAGGACTCCGGTCCATGAGCACGGTTTGAGATGACTCGCTCCCAGAGAAGTTACGTGACCACAATGTCGTTCTCCCACCAGACTTCTCGGTGAATCTCATGCTTTCTTCACTAACTACCTCTTATGAAACGTTCATAATTAATTTCAATGAAAATATGGTTGAATCTCTTTTTGAAAGAGTTGGTCAACATCTTGAAATATGAGTTGGTTATAAAGAGGACAAGTCCGTTTTGTCTTCGGCACTTTCTGTATCTTTTACTAAGAATAGTTCGAAGTCGAAGAAGAGAGTAAAAGGAAAACAGTTTTCAATCGAGTAAAAATAGACTAGGGGTGAATCGAGTATTCGCAAGGATAAAGAAAATAAGCATATAAGTGATGCTTGCTTCCAATGTGGAAAGACAGACCATTGGGCTCTGTAAATTGCACGGAGTGCCTTGATCGGAAATATTTTGAGAAAGGTGAGTGTTTCATTTAACCTGAACTCATTATAGAAGATAAACCGACACAACTTTGGCACGTTAGATTAGGACATATTTATTTAAGACGAATGAATGAGTTTGCATGTGACGGATTATTCACGTTGAATGAAGTGAACTCAGTGCGGGCTTATGAATTTTGTTTAACAAGAAAAATGTTCTAATTACCATTAAAATGGACGACAAATAGAGCTTGTTGAAGGTCTCTTGGATTTGATCTATACAGACATGTGTGGTCCACTATGTATCAGTGCCACGTGTGGTTTTAACTACTTTGTAACCTTTACCGATGATTACTCAAGGTATGGTTACGTATACTTGATGAAGTACAAGTTTTAAATATATGAAATGTTCAAAGATTTTGAAAACGAAGTAGAAAAGCAACCCATACGAAGTATTAAGAAACTAGGATCCGATCGTAGTGGAAAATACTTAAATGATGAGTTTATCGACTATCTCAAAGAGAACGTGATTCACTATGTTACCATCGTACTTATAGGGTCATGCACTCCATACCGCCACGTATTTACTGAATAGGGTTAACACCAAAGCAGTTAGTTCCACACCATATGAACTTTGGCATTCCGGAAAATCCACTTACATGAAGTGGCTAGTGGGAGACGAGTTGAATAGTCGATCCAACTTATGCTATTTCGTGGGGTATCTCAAAAATTGTTTTAGATACTTATTCTACTATCCCATGAAACAAAATTGTTTGTCTCGAAAAATGCCACCTTCTTAATGAAGAAGGTTCTATGCGATCGAATAGATGTATGGTAGAACTCGAAGAAATTCGAGAACCACGAATTGAAGTTCTAACACCATAAATAGAACAAGAGCCAACCAAAATCAAATGACCCATTAATGTACCTTCTCAACTATCTATGTATAGATTCGAAAGGATCCGTAGAGAACTCAATAGGCTAACCCTCATCGAAGGTAGTCAAAATGAATTTGACGAGAGATGTGATCCAAGAACCTTCAATGAGGTTGTATTTGATGCAGTAAGGGACATTGGCTTAACACCATGAAATCCAAAATGAATTCCATGTACTCCAACAAGGTATCGACCTTGATGGATCCACCTAAAGAAATCTTTCCCATAGGATGCAAGTGGATCTATAATCTTTAAGTTGGAATAGATGGAAAGGTATCGACCTATAAAGCTAGATACGTGGAAATGAGTTATACTCCAAGACAAGTTGTTGTATGTGAGTTAACTTTTCACGAAACACTATGCTATAATTCCATTAGGATTCTGCTAGCCATTTCTGCTGGTATGACTACGAAATATGAAAAATGGATATGAAGATCACCTTCCTCAATGGCGAGATTGAGGAAATCAGAGTGGTGCAGCCGAAATGCTTCATATCTTCTGGAACTTAGCAAAATAGACAAAATTCCAGCGATCCATTTATGGATTGAACCTAGCATCCCATAAATTGGTATGTTCGATTCGACACAAAAATCAAGCAATTGATTTAGTGACGATTTTTCCTGTTGTCATCTAAAATGGAGTTTATGTGATGATTTTCATTTTTGTCTCATAAATTATTCATTTACGAGACGAATTTATATTTCGTCATAAGATCTCTACTCTACGTTGACGAATTTGAGTTTCGTCACAATAAATTGTCACATAAAAAGTTTTTTTTTTGTAGTGAATATGGGGAATGAGAAATTGAGAATTTTAAAATTGAAATAGAGGGAAAGAACCACATGTCAACTCCACGTTATTTTTTTGTCACATTATCTCAGTGTATTAGCCATATCGGTATTTAACTGCCAGATCGACATCACATGCGCCACATGTGATATTTCCGTCCAAGTTGACTAACTGAGTTAACGGCAGAACATAAATTGTTGAAAAGTGACAAGCTTGAGGACATCTTTTGTGGATGAAAAAATTTGAGAACATAAATCGTTTTTAGTGATAAAATATAGGGACATAAACTGTAATTTCCCCTTCGAGTGTCGATTTCATGATAAACCTCGAATAGAAACCATAAAACATAAGAACCTCAATTGCAATTTACAAGTCAATCCGAACACAAAACAAAAAAAATCATAAATTCAACAATTGAATGTCAGGTTAATATCCATAGATGTCCACGAAAATATGAGAAAAACTCGGGGAATAACCGAAAAGTGATGGTGGTGTGCAACAGTAGAAAACACCGGAGGGTATTTAGGAGTACATTTTAGGTAAGAGACAACTAAGGCATTGGAAAAACGAGGAGCAAGCAACACTCGTTTCATTTTCCAAAAATAGAATCTCACGATAGTCATAAACCAAAACCAGCACATGTATAAAAGAAGAAACTCTTCCATGCTATTTTTCGAGATTCTCGGTTTTGGCCTTCAGTGTCTGCTTGTTTTTTTCCGCCGTTTGTGTGATGGTGTCATCTTGCATTTTCATCAGATCATTGAATTCTTTCCTTTTCGCCCTCAAGAAATCAAGTTGCGCGCTCACTTTTAGCTTCTCCTTCTTCTCGTGCTCGATCAGAACCTGTAAAAACATACAACTTCTTTCAGCTTCTTATAACATTCTTGAGATAATTCATAACCATAAAACCCTAAACCCTAAAAGAAAACCCGAAAACGCAAAAACCCAAAACCCAAAAAATGAAATATAAATATAAATATATACCTTCAACTGGTTCCGTCTTTCGTTGACCTTTCCTAGGTCCTCTTCCAGCTCAGCATTTTTACGGTTGTGACACGCTAGTTCCTCGACTAACAGAGTTAACTCCCTTTCGCACGATTGCAGTTTCTTGAGTGTTTCTTGCTCCCTTCTCCGAGCTTCACGCACGTTATTAGCGGATGCCAAAGCCTTCAACCTAGCATCTTCCCTCATCTCCTTCAATTCCAAATTCTCCTCTTCGAGGCGGCGAAGAGTAAGGCTATCCAGTTCGATCTTTCGAACCGTGTTGTCCGATGCAATCTGCATTTCAGACAGCCGTTTTGTCGTAACCTCCTCCAAAGTCCGACTCTCCTTGTCAAATTTGTCGAGCTCTTCTTTCTCTTGCTTCAGTAATTTCAACTCACTTTGGGACTTCTCCAACATTATTTCAGCCAGCATAACCTTCTCGTTCGCCCAATCACTCCATTCTTTGAACTCTTTCTCGAGGGCTTCCTTATATGCCACTAGCTTATCATAAGTTGTTCTTCCGTCGGGGAATGAATCGTTCCTCTTCATTTTCGATTTGGAATATTGTGTGTATGTATGCATCTCAGATGTGCCTGAGAACATAATACAAGAACTAGAATTATTACATAAATATATATTTGAATTTTAAGACAACATAATAAGATTAGTTGAAATAAAATTAAGTACACTAATAAAAAGTCAATTGTATTAATTTGGGCCATGATAAAATAATATTTATGGGTCTAGCTACTCGAAAAATTATTGGGTTTACCATATATTGAATAAAGTCCAGATATTTAGTTAATCATAAATAATCTCTCTATCCAAACGAGACCTTAATTACAGAATTAATTTCAGTGGCAAAACAGTATTATTGCAATTTGCAACATCCTTGCAGAGTAGAATAGATAGTATATGTTCTTGACTACATATGTGAAGAATTTGGACTCCTAACTTGATATTCCTAGTTCAGATAATTATATTTCTATACAAAAAAACACGAAAAAATTAAGTTTCATTGTTTCTTAATGTTGTTAGAACCGGACCGAACCGGATGGTCAGACCGGTTCGACCGTGACCCGACAATAAAGCGGTCTGGTCTAACATCTAATGACCAAAATTCGGTTCGACCGGGCAAAACCCGAGAACAGACGAGTCAGTCAAGGAACCCATTTTTCAGCCAAAACCTCTCGAATCACCGTTGAGTTGGTTATTTGAGGCTAGATTTGAGCGAACCTTCACAAACTTAGTAGTGGGTGGCCGGATATAGTCATGAGTGGTCGAAGGATTGTGGGATATGATCATGGGTGATCGAATAGGAGTGGCCGATTACCGGATTTGAAGAATAAAAAATGGAAAAATATAGAGTATAAGCAATAAAATATATTAAAAAGTGAGGTGATGTAGATAAAAGTCAAAATAATAACTGTTAGATTAAAAATATAAAGAAAATGGTATTTTTTAAATATTAAAATTAATAAAATAATGGCATTTTAAAAAAAATCAAAAACTCAGTTGAACCGATTTGATCCTATAAACCCATGACTCAAATGGTCCTCCGGTTCTATAGTCGGTTCGATTCTGAAAATATTGATAAGACGAAAAGTGAACTCCTCAAATTTGTTTAAATAAAATACTAAGGCCCCGTTTGGTTGCCAAGATAAGCCATGATTAACTAAATAGTTGGACTTAATTTGATGTTTGGTATCCTCAATAACTTGCCGGGTCGACCCGCCAAAATTATATAATCATGGCTTATTTTGTCTTATCTTGGCTTATCTTGCCTTTTAATGAGTTTTTTGTTGGACCTTTCAAGCTCCAATAAAATAATTGGGTCTCATTAGATTATTTAGTCTTATCTTGGCTAATCTTATCTTGTCAACCAAACGGGGCCTAAGTATTAGATTTTTTACAATAAGTAACTAATTTTGAAATTAGAGTAGAAAAATATATAAAATATTACGCCAGTCTTTTATTTTGAATTGTTGTTTAAGGTATATGCAATAATCCTAATAAATGAGATTCATTCAAATAGAAAAACACAAAACTACAGATATTAAGAAATGATATTTTTTCTCCACATAAATCCTCATAAATGATATAGGGCAAAATAGGTAAAACGAAAATAACTCAGTCTTAAAGTCTAAGGCGACACGTAATATATATGGGAAAAAGTTTTATGGCTAAAGAGACAATTAAAAAGAAAACCGTTGGTGTTAAAACTTCAAAAGACAAAAATCATATTACAAAAAAGCAAAAGGGTCCGAAAATGCAGAAAATATAAATTTAGGGGCAAAATAAAAAATTCCAGAAATATCTCTTTATTTTAAAAAGAAATCCTAAACTTATGGGACTAATTTGCAAAATCCAACAAAAACCGAAACCCTAGTAGGTTTTCATCCTCGAAACCTCGCCGCTTCGAAACCTAAAAGTATCCGCCGCACAACTATTTGTCATTTCCGCCGCCACCAAAAACACACACACTCACACACATTTCCGATCTAGAACATTTCAAATCGAAAATTTTAATTCCGGCAACTATAACGGAATCCCGGCGAACCATGAACACATATAAATGAGGCATTTCAAATTTAAATTCCCCTAGATTGTAAAGATAAAAAATTAATAAAAACAATCTAGCTAATTCCATCATAAATATCATGTATAGTGTATCTCTATGTTTTAATCGAAATTTATCATCTCGAAAACCCTATGCCGGTCCGGGCGGTACCATGTGCCGTTTCGGACCTCATAATAGCAAATTTACTTAAACTCTCATGAAAACATCTAAAAAACAATGTAATAATCTCTTGAGAATTGAAAAGGAAAAATAAAAAAATAAAAATGAAAGAGAAATCTGAAAAAATCTTGAAAAATTGGGAAAAACTTGTGTGATTTTCTTACAAGCCAGAAAAAATAATAAACATCCTTCTTAAACAAATCCAAATGTACAACTTGAACACATGAATAATAATAACCACCATAAATCAAAGAAAGAACACTGATCAACAAGAAACGATAAATGATATGTAAAAACAAAAAAAAAAAAAGATTAAAAAGAAAGCCTACCGCCTAGTTTAGCCTTAGCATGCAACCTCTCTTTCTTTCGCTTTTGGAATGTAATAATGAGAATAATGAGAGAAATTTTCAAGTTAAATAATATATAGGGGCTCGTTAATATAACCCAAACTATTTTGCACCATTTGAGAAAAACTCACTTCAAATTTCAGTCACCTATTTTTTTAATTTTGTCCCTCCACCTTACACACTATCCCCATGACCCATCAGCTCACTATCCCAATGACCCATCAGCCCACTATTCCATGACCCATCAGCTGTGTCTTTCTCTATTTTTTTTCTTTATTGTTATATAGTATTATTATTATTTTTTTATTATTATTATTAATTTATTATTATTAAATTTTTTAATTTTTTTTTAACTTTTTTTACTTTCTCTATCAGGTATGTTAATCAACTATGAAGCATATTAAATCGACTATGATGAACTATAGTCGATTAAGTAACCGACTACTAAAAATAACAAATCACAACTACAAAAATCCAAACTCAACTATATTTTACAATAACAAACAATATACAAACATTATAATTGATTTATACAATTAAAATCAATAAACAAAAAATTCAAAAAAAAAATTAAAAATTGGAGTCAATGAGGCATATTAATCGACTATGATGTGAAGCATAGTCGATTAAGAATCTGCTACTAAAAATAACAAATCACAACTGCGAAAAAATGTAAATCAACTATATATTACAAAAACAAAAATATAAAAACATTATAAATGATTTATACAATTGGAATAAAAAAAATTGGAGTCGATCAACCTTAATCGGCTGCCAGAGCATAGTTGATTAGCTTAATCGACTATGAACATGTACATAGTCAATTAAGGTTTCAGTCTGCGCGAAATTATCTACATGCGCCGTCCTCCGCCCGATCAGGCCACCAAAAAACCCTAAATCTGCTTCCCCATCATCACCACACCGTCGCACCACACAATTTCAACCTATCCTTAACAAGAAAAATAAAATAAATAATTCATGCAAAACAAAACACAAATTAGCATTTCAATGTTCACAAAAAAAAATTGATAAAAATAATAAATAAATAAGAACGATTCAAAGGTATTTGTCAACCATTGTTGGTCACTCCATAAACAATTTTGAGCACATGACAAAACCAACACTAAAAAATAATAAAGGTAAAAAAAAAAATACCTACATCAACAATTTCCGTAGATTCTCCTCCGACGACGAGTGATTCTTCTTCTTTCTCAACAGCTTGTTCCTCTTCTTCTTCCTCCACACGCTGACTGGGTGGGACATGATGTTGAGAAAGAAGAGTGTTTCTCCTCCACACGCCGACGACGAGTGATTCCTCTTCTTTCTTTCTCCATCTACCGACGGCGGCGACGACAACGATCGGGAGAAGATTACCGGAGAAAAAAAGAAGAAGAAAAAAACAGAGAAGAGAAGAAGAGAGAAACCCAGCGGAATAAAATTAAAAATAAGATTAGGGTTTTGAAAAAGTATAATAGACAATTACGGATAGTTTTGGAATTATAAAACTATCCCATGGGTAGAATATTAAGTAAGGGAGGTTTTCTCTAATTATTTTTGTAAGAGGGTGTTTCCTTAACTATATTTCCTAGATAAGGGGTTTCTCTAATTTTCCCTAATATATAATGAGTAAGGATTAATGAGCTACTGTCCATGCTACAAACCCATCTGACGTGTGGGTGCTTAGCTGTTCCGTTTTCGTGTATGAAATAACCGGGCCAAGTTATGAACCACCCTATGTAATTTAGTAATTTACGGGTTTGAATTATGCAGTCATAGTTCATACAAATTTTCCAATTATGGACGTGACAATTTTTAGGTTTTCCAGTTTCCACTTTTGAATATTATTATTTTTTTTTTTTGTTAAAATCCCTCAAAATTTCATTGTTATTGTGGGAAAGTTTGGAATGGTTTTGGGAGTTACTTTCATTTTATTGTGGTGAATATGTTTTGAGAGAATAATTTTAGAATGAAAATAATGTTTGTTTATGATTTGAGATTAAACAAAATACATTGTAGCAGTCAATCATGTTTAAAGTTATTTGAAAAAATGTAGTTAAGAAAAGGAATTTGAAAAATAAAATAGTAGTTGTTTGTTTTTCAGAGACGACATTTTTTTACAGTAATAGTCAAATCATATATGTAGAGAGAAACTTTGGAAGTCGTTTTGGGATCTATTTCTTTGTTTGAAAACCTAAACAAATACGAATTCATTTTCAGAAGATAATAAAAGAGAAACCAAAACCGAACCAAACATTGCCATATGATCCGGTTACAATTGTTTTTATTTATTTTTTTCAAGTGTAATTTCGTGGTATGTCAAACTTCAATGGGCCTATTTTTAGAAGGGAAAATTAGTAAGACCTCCTTCATTTGGAAAAGTCATGTAAGGTAAACAATCATAGTGCAAGGCAGAAGCGAGAATTGCCCGAAAAATATTTATAAATTAAGAATGATATGCATTGTAGATCATAAACAAAAGTGTATACTAAAATCTTCAAAAAAATCATGTGGTGTACAAGAAAGATTTATAAAGAATCCCACTAGTCATGGTGGATCATAAACAAAAGCTTAACAAAATCTCTAAAAATTACGCGGTGTTTTAAAAGTGTGCAGCTGAAGTAAGTTTCATTGTCCACATCACCCTTAGATTCTTCTTCATCTTTTCTTCCTACGCTCGTAATCACTTCCACTCTCTGTTGACTCGAAATCCGACTCAGATATTGCCTTTTGTCGTTGCATGTTTCTGAGATACTCACGCATGTGCTATGTGATCCCTCCAAGCTCAATTAAAGTGAAGAAGTTAATAGCAAACATAGTGTTGTTTGTATTATCCTTGGAAAATATAGAGTACTCGAAAGAATCTTTACTTAGACGTTCATTCAGTGAGCGAATTCCAAGATTAATTTCTGAAGAGAAATTTGACGAAATACGAGACGAAGAAGTTGTACCCACTTCAGTCAACCGTTCATACTCCAAAACATGCCAATGTAGTGTGAGCAAAGAAATTTGTCACATTCCGTATTTTATTTATGTCCATCCGATGAATCATAGAGTAGTTCCGGACAAAGCATTCAAAATTCACATTATAAACGTTGTCATACAAAACCGCTGCCCAAGCAATCCTTAGTAGAGATCGTAGGTTCTCTCCTGACTGCAACACTCCAACAACATAACACAAAGCTCCTACTCCAATTGAGCAGGCTCCATTTTCATTATCTCAACTAGCTTATGCCCTTCTTCTTCGAAATCAACACTTGACATAATCGTCAAGTAGATAGTTCTTCGAAAAAATCGATCAAATTCATCTGTCTCATCCTTTATTTCATGGAGAAAGCACCCACATTCTGTAACGAAGCCCATAACCACTTCAATACTGTCATCGGTTGGATTCTCCAGAAGCAGAGTCAGCAGCTCGAGAGCAATAAACTCGTGAGCTACACGCTGGTTCACCAAGTGTGCGATGAATTTGACTACTCGATAATTGTAGTTTATCATGGCGCATGAAAAGATGGCCGATTTCAACCAAATTATTCTCGACGATTTAAAAGGAGGAATACATACGCTGCCGCTTTTCCCCAAATTTGCAACCAAATTCCGGGACATCATTTTGAAACCAAGTTGATGATTCATTAACTTAATTATTTATTGGCATGAAAACTTAATTATCCGTAAATGGATTGTGTTTTGAGCACTAGTTGGTGATCAATATGAAAAATATTTAGTACATAAACTTCGTCTTTTATAAATTTATTTTTAGTATTTTTGAGTTCATGTTATCATGAAAAGTTAATTGATTTGAAAACCAAATAATGTTAAGTTTCTAATATGCAACTCGAAAAAAAAGGAATTTTCTCGCATGAACATTCACATACCTGCTTGTGATATTATATCACTGAAAAAGTACTTAGACAAATTTCATATAAAATAGATGTTTTATTAAAAATCAAGTATTGTCATAAGTTTTAGGTATATGAGTCAAGTCTTATGATTTAACCTCTTTGCTTGTGGATTTTAGACACAAAGTGGTTATGTCACTAATAGGGGTGGCAATTTGGATCCGGTTCCATGGATCCGATTAGATCCGGTTCGGTTCATAAGGATCCGGTTTAGATTAAGTTTAGTTGAAACAAATCGGATCGGATCCAGTTGATATTTTTTTAAAACTGGATCCATGTGGATCCACTTTAAATTCATTATAAGTTTAACCACAAAATAAAGTGGGTCATATTGGATCCAATCAAAATCCAATTAAATACCAACACAATTTTCTCACAAAAAAAAGTCAAAATATTATTTTAATTAAAAATTTAATTGTAAAACAGTGTGTGTGTACGTGAATGTCTTTGTGTGTGTAAACAGTGTGTGTGTGTTTATACGAGTGTGTGTGTTTATGTGAGTGTGTGTGTGTAAACCGAGAGAGTGTGTGTGTGTGTGTGTTTATACGAGTGTGTGTGTGTATGTGAGTGTGTGTGTGTGTGTAAACCGAGAGAGTGTGTGTTGTGTGTGTTTATACGAGAGTGTGTGTGTATGTGAGTGTGTGTGTGTGTGTAAACCGAGAGAGTGTGTGTGTGTGTGTGTGTGTGTGTATGTGAGTGTATGTGTGTGTGTATATATATATATATATATATATATATATATATATATATATATATATATATATATATATATATATATATATATATATATATATATATGGGTTTTTTGCAAAAACCACCCCTGTGTAATCTCTAATTGCTGAAAAACCCCTCGTGTTAAAACAATTAGCAAATACCCCCCTATGAAAATTAGTCAAAGTCAATAAGGTCCCTGCAAGCTGACCGTGCGTTGCACTCGCCATGAATGCGACTGGGATTTCTTTTCTTGACCAGAAAATACCTAAATACGGCATAATTTATATAAGCACTAAAATGATTTTTTTTTTATTTTCAATTGAGTCCTCCATATTTTCAATTAAGCCCTCTTCAACCTCAAGAACATCCACTTCTTTACCATGATTGTTTTCAGCAAAAACCATCAACCAAACCCAGCTCTGAGCATCAAGTTCATTTCTATTCCAAATCAAGTAGAACGAAAGGGAAGAAAAATGGATCCTCAAGCTTTTTCGGCACAACCCAGAAAAATACAAAAACATTCAGAGCATTTTCTTCCAATTTCTGAAACTTAAATCGTATCTGAGAAATAAGAAGAATGTCAAACTCGAAGAATCATTTCCAGCCACTGCACAGTTACTCCGCCAAACTCGAAGCCGACTCTCCGGATCCACCACCACTACTGCCGCGCCGCCTTTGAGTGCCACCACCGCTTTTGTAACTTCTGAATCCTCAATTTCCATCCATCGAAATTGTCGTCCTTACACTTTTTTTTTCCAATCTACAGAAAAGAAAAAAACATCTCCTCCCACCATTGACAGCCAACCATTCTTCACGGGACTCCTTTTTCTAGTGAGTCAGAGACGTCCCAGTGAAGGGGGAGAGAAGATGCCAAGATGGTTTGGGCCCATTTGGGTGATATTATTTATTTATTTAGATTAATTTATTTTTTTTACATTTTATTTGTTTAAAACTGAAATATTATTAAATACTTATTAGGGGTAGTTTCGTCATTTTCATATAAGTCAACCATCAAATTTGAAGTAAGGGGCGGTGTGCTTCGTAAAACACAATATAGGGGGGACCTTGCTAATATTTTTAACATGAGGACTTTTTCGGCAATTTGAGATTACACAGGGGGTTTTGTGCAATTAACTCATATATATATATATATATATATATATATATATATATATATATATATATATATATATATATACATGTATCTGTGTGTGTGTAAACAGAGTGTGTGTGTGTGTATGAGTGTGTGTGTCTGTATGTGAGTGTGCGTGTGTGTTTATACAGAGTGTGTGTGTGTGTAAACCGAGAGTGTGTGTGTGTGTAAACCGAGAGAGTGTGTGTGTGTGTATGTGTGTGTGTGAGTGTGTGTGTATATATATATACAGAGTGTGTGTGTGTGTGTTTATACAGAGTGTGTGTGTGTGTGAAAAACCGAGTGTGTGTGTGTGTGTGTGTGTGTGTGTGTATGTGTGTGTGTGTGTGTGTGTGAACACAGAGTGTGTGTGTGTGTGTGAAAACAGAAAGAGTGTGTGTGTAGATATAAATGTGTGAGTTGATGTGTATATATATATATAGGTATATATATATATATATATATATATAT